TACTACTACTACTACTACTACTACTACTACTACTACTACTACTACTATACTACGACTACTTGGACTGAGCTTGAGCACACTCAACGCCAGAACGTGCCTACAGCAAGCAGAGTAGCCAGTCATTTTGACACGGCCCGGGTAGACCGCAGCGGTCGCAATTCTTTTAAATTCAATTATTGGGATCTGTCCTGGCCTTATTGTACCTCCTCTTTCTCCCTCTCTCTCTCCTTCCCTAAAGTTCCCTTGGATGTAATAGGATGCCGCAGCTGGGAGTGCCAGCCTGACCCGGTCCTTTTTTCTTTTTCCCCACATTGCCGTGTGGGGTTCTTGTTTTTTTGCTGCACCTCCTCGCTCCTCCTCCTCCTCCTCCTCCGCCTTCCTCCTTCCTCCTCCTCTCTCACACAAATCATCTCTCACACAACATCACTCACACAACATCTCTCACACAACATCTCTCACACAACATCTCTCACAACAACATCTCACACACAACATCACTCACACAACATCCCACACACAACATCTCGCACACAACAGCACTCACACAACATCTCTCACAACAACATCTCACACACAACATCACTCACATAACATCCCACACACAACATCTCGCACACGTCAGTCACACAACATCTCCAACAACACAACATCTCACACACAACACCTCCGACCGGTACCATTTGCGTGCTGTGCGCGGCGCTTGCTGCTTGCCAACGGGTCGGATGTACGCCCTGGCGTTGTCTGGCGCCGGCTGGGCACCGGCGCTTTGCCGGTAGCATTTGCTTGCTGTGCGCGGCGCTTGCTGCTTGCCAAGTCGGATGTACGCGCTGGCGTCGTCTGGCGTCGGCTGGGCACCGGCGCTCTGCCGGTAGCATTTGCGTGCTGTGTGCGGCGCTTGCTGCTTGCCAAGGGGTCGGATGTACGCCCTGCAGCGTGGGGACCGTTAGTTATAACTTGGGGCAAGTTCGGTTATAAGTCACGGTAACATACGTTATAAATGGGCTTAAGTATACTAAGTTCGTTTTCAAGTTATAACTTACACATTCTTTTTACTGTAATTATAACTTACTTATAAGTTCTTTTTTT